ATTTTATGGTATTGGCGAGCTTTCATTCTGATTGGCCAATTTTTGTAGATCATCCTGTAATTTCGAAACAATTTTATTGGCTAATCGAAATTTAAAAAATTAATATCTATAAAAATAATTATAGCTATGATATAATCTTGTCGCAGACAAAATTCTAACAAAACCAAAATTTTCTTTAAAAAGGATCCTGTATATTATAGTATTACGAATCAAAAAAAAAAAAACGATAAATACAAAAAAACAAATGTTTAAATTTATTCTAAAATGCTAATAACTAATAAAAAAATTATAAACAACTTTTAATGCTTTTCTAATATCAGACTGGTCTTTAATATATTTAATAATCGTTATATTGTTACAACAAAACACATCCTGAAACTAACCAATAAAAGAACAGAAATTTTAGGGATATACCAAAAATGTAGTTGCAGAAGCATCAAAAATGAATGTTTTGCATCACTAATGATTTCAAATAGAAGGTAGGTTCATGATATTTAGCAAATAATACAATGAGGGGTTTCAGAATTAAAAAAATAGCGTATTTCAAAATAAGTAGGAGCTTAAAAAATCTTATTTGTACATCAAAATTTTGAAATTGGAAAATGAAATGGGAATGGTTAAAGACTCCAATTTAATGAAATAAATAAACTTTTCAACGACAAAAATCATTATTACAATTTTATCGGAAATGAAATAAAGTCGATACATCGCTCATTTGAAGATAAATACGTTATTTATTTCTGTCAAAATTAGATTTCCGCACGTTAATTCTAAAACCCCTCAATACTTACATTTATTATTCATTATATTACAAAATTTAAATTCATCTTACAGGCAAGTTTCAAGGCTTACTAAAATTTGCTATTGCATATGCATATGTAAAATCTATGCATTGCTAACTTCTTATCATTAATATTTGTTATCACGCAATGCTTCCTATTTCATTTCAATTTAGTCAGTAAAAATAAAAGCTATTTAATTAATAAATTTTATTATTTAAATTTACTGTAAATTCTCAAAATGGCAGCATAGGTGTTATTTTGAGTTTTGACTCAAATTAAGTTCAATTTAGGCCAAATCTCATAATTTCACCTCTGAACGTTATTTCGAGAATTTCGGTACCAATTTTTTATTCTTAATTACTAAAAATAAAATGTCACTAGTATGTTATAAATCTAATCTGTCTGTTATTTCTGATCGATTATTAGGACTGGTCTAGAAAAGCAGCTGTTCTGTATAAATCTCTAGTTCATTCATAAATTTACGTTTCTGGTTTTGCGTGACAGCGTCGCACAGCTACCTTATTGTTATTTTGAGATATCAGAACAATTATAAAAAAGAAATACGTTTGTATTACAAGATTCTATTGGGATTTATATTGAATAAAGATCAATATTTATGCTAACACTAACTTGTTTCAGTAATTACGGTGGTTTGCCTATAAGTTATACAAATTATAGATATATATATCTCAACCTGAATCCATTTTATTATGCTTGCTTAATAAGCTAACATACAGGTTAGTTATTAATTGGCATATTAATCAAATTTTATGATTAGATTAGTAGAATAGTCAAAATTATAAATTATTAATGACATAAAATAATAATAATTTTTTGAGCTGAAACAGATATATGAATAATTTATTTTAAAAGGCAAAAAAAATAACTTATACATTTATCAGACTAATAATATAATAAAGATTTTGACATCATCTTTCAAATCAATGTTCACCAGTATGAATGAGATATTTGATTAGAACTTTATATTTGGCCATATTTCTTTTAATAAGTTTTTTAAATAGTCATCGTGTTCGTATCTTCTTTTAATCCTTTTTATATCTTCTAAAGTAACAGTGTCCTTTTTCTTATATTTTAAAACCCCTTTCTACCAACTCTCACTTCTTCTTTACGATCTGTAGACGAATCCCTTTTTGTTTCTTTAAGATCAGAAGAACCCAATCTCAACTTTTTTTTCGCATCGACACCTTGAATACTTGCTTCTTCTTTACGATCTATAGACGAATCCCTTTTCGTTTCTTTAAGATCGGAAGAACCCATTCTCAACTTTTTTTTCGCATCGACACCTTGAATACTCGCTTCTTCTTTACGATATACAGACGAATCCCTTTTCGTTTCTTCACTGGAAGAACCAAATCTCAACTTTTTCGCATCAACACCTTGAATTTTCGCTTCTTCTTTACGATCTATAGACGAATCCCTTTTCGCTTCTTTAAGATCAGAAGAACCCAATCTCAACCTTTTTTTCGCATCGACACCTTGAATACTCGCTTCTTCTTTACGATCTATAGACGAATCCCTTTTCGTTTCTTTAAGATCGGAAGAACCCATTCTCAACTTTTTTTTCGCATCGACACCTTGAATACTCGCTTCTTCTTTACGCTCTATAAGATCGGAAGAACCCAATCTCACCTTTTTCGCAGTGACATCTTGAATAGAAAATTAATGAATAAATCAATTATTCAACATAATTTAGGAAGTAATAATAAGTATAATCAAATATTGAAATAAAAATTAATACCTTCTCTAATTGGAGTTGGAACTGCCAACGTACTGGCAATGAGAAGGGTCGAAAATACGACAATGTAATTGAACTTCATGATTTAGATATAAAATTTGAAATTTTGGATTTTTTGATTGTAGACAAAATTTAATTTATATTACTGTATTATGAATGAAACAATTTGTCTGAAGCTGAAGAAATTTAGAAGGCCACTTATATAAAGAAATTTGGGTTAGAGTCAAGATATAAATCATTTATTCATTAATTATAAAGTTATAATTAAAATACGGAATGGTTTGCCTTTTTCTCTTTGTTTTTTCTGATTAGTGAATAATTCAGCCTTATGCATCATCATTACCAATTTTAAATTCGGCCGAGTGTCGAGTATACATTATTTGGCATTTCAAAACTTCATGAAGATATCGTCAATAATGATATGATATTAAACTACATCAATGGAAGATACATAAATGAAAATATCATATGATGCGATGAAAATATCGTATGATACGATAAATTTGGTAGTTAACTGATTGAATAAGTAATTTGAATACGATAATATTTTGAAATTTCGAAGCTTTCCAAGTAGAGAATACTTACACTGCAGTAAAACCTCCATAAATGCACACTCAATGAACATGATCTCCATAAATGTACTTTTTCTTGTGGTTTTCTATGTACACATTTATAAAGTTTAGTCATTTATAGAAGGTTTACTGTATAGGTCGAAATATTCCAAATATAAAATTTATTTAATCAAGCCAATAATCCAATATTTAGATGTAATGCACGCCTCACAAAATTTGGTTCGTACCACAATTCTACAATAAAAACTTGGGATCTTGTTTTTCGGGTTGATCAAATTGCATTTCTATGTATAGACTTGAGTATGTTGCATACATATATATATATATGAGTAAATTGCACACGTACCTATATATAAATTTCCTTTTCTTGTATCTCTATTCCCTTTATATTGGTTTACCTTGGCCGAAATCCAAGACCAGCATTTCGAACAATGAATTTTCAGCGAAATTGTTGCAAGGATTACTTTAATTAATAGAATGATAGAACAATAATAACTATATCATTAGCAAACTTTATTAAGGGAGTCACTTAAAACATTCTTAACCGAAATTCTATTTATATCTTAACGTTACGATTTCTGTTTAATCAGAAAGGTTATTCAAACTATAATTTTATTATTGTTAAAAAATCCATTTAACATAAGATTATCATTACATAGTTATTGTACATAGATCTTTTTTAATCATTCAAAAAAGGTATCAATTGTATTAAATTTGGATTTTAAAATCAAAACAATGAGTGACTTTTGCAAAATTTTTCAAACGAGCCTAGAATAATCGTGTCTCGGAATTTTAACATAAAATAGACCTATTTAGGTTTAACAGGTGATGGCACTTTTTCTTCAAAGTTACTAGAAATTATTTAGTTATCATTATTTAACTCTAAAATTTTAACTAAAGATTTGATTCAAAATAAATCAAAAAGATTTGCTATCGAAACTACAGTACTCAACATGTTGATTTGCCAATCCTCAATAACATAGATTGGATATAAACCATACGTAACGCCAATAACGCCCATTTATGCTTATTCGGGACATTTTTTTGGGTACACATTACAGCACCGAGTTCTGTTAAAATTTTCCGGCGCTATCTTTATTTTAGTACTTGCATTTACTTATTGACTTATTAATTTATATTTCTGCATGCTGTTATGTTTTTACTTTATATAGTTCTTTATAATGCATGGCCTTATATGTGATAGATGGTAACGTTATGCAAAACATCAGATTTAGGATTATTATACGGTAATGTGTAAAATAGGATCTCCGATATCTTTTTAAGATAGGTATATACTGTTGTTTTCTTATTTTTCATATTCTTTATGTTTGTTTTGTTATCTGGAATAATCATGATTTGAATAATCTTGAGTGCCCTGATGCTGGTCCCCTTATCATGTGCAGTCGTGTGTAATTGCTAAACATAAAAGGTGTAATAACGCCTAAAAGATTATGCTACACTAGAATGTCTAGGTACTGCGGTTCAGAATTCTGCTCACGCTAAAAATACTTGTTTATACTGTAATTGATTTTAAAAAGTGATTTAAATGACATCCAACTTATGAGATCAATCTAAAAATTTATTTTTAGCGTGAGCAGAATTATACACCGCAGTACACTGGATACACTAAATGATGTATGCAAGAGTATGAACCCCAAAATAATTCTTTAATTAAATGAATTTCTTTTTCACAGCCCCAAACCACGACTATTATGGAATTTTTAGATTTGATTAGATTTCATAAGATCGATTTGATGAAGTTGAATGTAATAGAATGATATCTCGAAAAAAGA